AGGTTAATGGTGTGGGGGCATCGACACACTCTGTCACCCTGAGCGTTTATTTGCGGATTGCCGGAGCTGTCCCTCCACAAACGTGTGCACTGGGAGGGATGCTGGCTTTGGGATAGGGTGGAGCACAGCCCCGTGGGCAGCCACCATCCCCTTCCTCTGGTCGGGGAGCACACCAGGACTGGGGGGACGGCAGCCCTGAAGTCAGCCCGCCCAAATGATGCAGAGAAGGCTGAGCTATGAGCAACTTTGCTCATTCCAGGTGCCAGTTGGTCTGCAAACAAGCGTGCAGTGAGATCCTCAGAGCTCTGCTCGTGTCAGCATGGCTCCGGGCTGACCTCAGCAGGGCTGAGCCAGCCCTGCCGGGAGAGGATCAAGGCTGCGAGCTGGAACAGATCGGCACGGTTACCATGGAAAAGCATGGGATCGTTTCCATAAAGCCTTTGCCCGAGGTGAGGCGGTGTTTTGGCAGGAAGGAGCTCCGCTCAGCACAGCTGGTTGGTGTACAGCTGCCCATCCGCCTGGCGAAGTTTGCAGTGAGATCCTTTGTGAAGGTGCCTTGCAAAAGAAGATTACGTAGGCTGAGATTGAGCAGACCTGCCAGATTTGAAAGGGTAGGAGAGGGCTCGCAGAGGGATTTGGAGTGGCCACGCTCTTTGCGCAAAGATACAGGCAAGGTTGCAACACCAACTGCGTCAGTATTGCTCCTGAGAGCAGCCCACCCTCAGCAGACCTGAGGCCGCCTCTGCCCCCTGGCAGCCCCACACACGGCGTTGGCAGAGGGGACGTGCCTGGGGCTCAAGGCTCAGGTTCTTGCCCCACGGCAACACCAAAGTCCAAGGCCGTGTGGCTGCAGGGTCGCCAGGACCTGGATGCCTGCAGTACCCACGTGGGCTCACAGCCTCCCAGATCCACCTACCCTACAGAAGCAGCGGGGCAACCACACACATCTCTGCTGTGCTTTTGGTGGCACGCATCACTGCGGTGCCCAGGCTTCACAAGCCTGACATGAGTATTCTATGCATGGATACTACTGGATTTTTTTCCTCATGCACCCTCAGGCTGTTCTGATACGAATAGTTTAGGATACTTCGAAGACCACATCAGCAATGGTGGGATCCTTCTGGGCTTGTAGCATCTCACAATTAATTATACGAAGTCTTGGGTGCGGCAGTTCAGCCTTAGCCTTGAATATATTAGCCTATTTTTTCTAATGCAATTTTCACGCTCACTCTCCTGGGTGCTTAAGACTTGTTTGCTCAACGAGGACATCTCTGGTGTTTCCTGATGTTAATTAGAAGTATTTCTGAGCCTACTGCCATCTGTCTGGGGTTTCTTTGCTTGGGATTTGCCATGGACACACTGCCCCTGTAGCAAGCTTTGCATTTCCTTGCTCCCTCTCCAGTAGCATCACCCATAATCCTGCTATGTCCAAGTGGAGCACAGCTGGGGCTGGGGGATGCGATCCAGCCATAAGGAAGGCATGCAGGCAGCATTGCAGCACCTCGCACAGTGTGCAGTGTCAGGCCTTGATCCTGCCACTGAATGCACTCGGGAGAATTTCCACCTCCTTAATAAAGCTGTAATGTGTATTAGGCTGAGATTAATCTGCCAGCCATGGTTAATGTGTTCCTGACCTAGTAGGGAGCATGCTTAGCAGCATGAACCGCGCTAATAAAATAAATAAAAAAATAAATAAAAAGAAAAAGAAGAAAGCAAGCAAAGGAAAAAAAAAAAAATTGCCAATGCACACTGTGACCAATTTCCAACTGCAAGGGAAAGGCATGCGCTGAGCACTCCCTGGGATATTCTCCACCCTTGAACAGAGCAAGCAGAGCCAAGCAATCTCTGGGTCTCAAATCCCCCGCCCTGCCTGCCTGGTTCTCATCATCCAGCTTCCCCCAGCCACGCTTGAAGGAAGAGCACGTGCTTCACAGCGGTGTCTCTGCTTGCTGCAGAGCAGCCAGGTGGGTGCCGGGCTCGCGATGCCGAGCGTGTCGCTCCGTGCAAAAGCAAAGAGGTGGGCTGGTGGGGGATGTGGAAGGGGAGGGACTTTCTTTTTCATATGTGCCTCTGCACTTTTTTATTAATTTGCTTTTCTACGCCGCCGTTCTGTGCAGCTCAGGTCATCGCCAGCTTTGCTCTGCCTTTGCAAGCCCTCCGGTCACCACCCCACAGCCACCCTTGACCCTTGCAGCACCTTCAAAGGCAGCATGCTGCAGAGCCTGCAATGTTTGCTCGCTTATCAGCTGGGCAGCCTCCCACTGCGCTCCTGGGGACACCGCTTGGCCACCGCTGCCCGCGCAAGGTCAGTCCCCTGGCGCCGTGCTGAGCTCCCTGTCCTCATTGGGTGACTACCGTTTGAGGGCAGAGTGGTAATTAATTAATTAAACAGCAGCTCATCTCGCTAAGGCCTTGGGTTTGCTAACCCACAGGTAAAGGGCTTCGGCCCTGTGAGCCTCTCTGGGGGTGATGCAGTAGTGGCCGCGTGTGAGCAGGTCCCACCTGGCTGTGCTGGTGGTAGGTGGCACATAGTCAGACACCAAGTTCTCCTCCCTTGGCTGCATTTCAGTTGTGCCCTGCGTGGCACCACAGTGAGCAGCGGTTTCGCAGACTGGTTTGAAAGTGATACAGCTGAAATGGGAATGCCTTGGCTGGTGGGCACAGGGGGAGATGCTCTTCTCACCTTCCTCCCAGCTGTGTCGGAGGCTGGGCCTCTTCCTAGGATCTAATCCATCACAGCACAATAGACCATTCCTACTCTTTGTATGATGCTTATATTTTAAGAAAAGAAACGGTGAAGTGCTGGTAGAGCTGCCCAGAGCTGTGGGTGCCCCAGGCCGTGGATGGGACCTGGCAACCAGCCCAGGGCAGGGCTGAGTCTGGATTATCTTGGAAGTCCCTTTTAACACAACCATTCTATGGACTTATACAATCATTCATTTGGATTTAGTGCAGGTGGAAGGCAATTTTACACATGCTTAGCACATCAGGTCTGCACTCGAGCATCGCAATCCCCCAGCTTCTGATGGAGAGGTTTGTGCAGAATTTGCCCTACTGCTCCGAAGGCAGCAGAGCTCGGCGTCACCCAGCCCCGGATCAACACGTTGTGTTCCGCGGGTTCGTGGCTTTGAAAGCTGAATTAAAGCCAAAACTGGGAGGTGTCACCTCTCGGCACCACGCCTGTCCGGCGCCCCGCCGACCTCGTTGGCTGCGGCGAGGAGGGATCACAAGGCTGAGCTTCCTCAAAAGACCAGCAGGCGGTGGGGAGGAGGAGGAGGCAGGAGATAAACAGGCGGCAGGAGCCCTGCGGGAGGCACGGGCCGTTCTGCCCGGCCGCCTTCCCGGGAGAGGGCGCTGGGAGCCTCCGCCGCTTCTCGGCTGCCTCGTAAACATGTTGTGCTGCAGGAGGTGGGCTGTGCCAACGCCGGGGGCTGCTGGCCGTGGGTGCCCCGGGCTAGCTGGCAGGCAGCTGGGCTGGCCACCGCTTCTGAGAAAGTCGTAGGTAGCACATTTCTAGGAAACGGGAGCTGTCGGTGTCCCGATTAAACAAACCATTTAGGTAAACCCAGGGCACAGCGTTAGGTTTCCAGAGGCGGCCCTGCTTTGTGGGGGCTGTTTTGCTGCTGGGTCTCCCTAAGCGCCAGCACCCCTTCCTTTGCTTTCAGCTGACCCACTCTGGGTGACCGCAGCTGAACTCTGGCTTTGGGTTTTGCTGTGGAGGGAAAACGTGGGTGCCAAATGGGGAAATGGAACAAGATCCAGGCAGGGAAGGAGGCAGCCGAGGTGAGAAAGTATTGAGGCACCCAGCTGTGCCCTGCTTGGGGATGCAGCAGGGACGCCTCATCCCCCTCCTAGAGCTGAGAGTGTCAGTGCCTGCTTGTCACCCCCAAAAGGATTCTGTGTGCTGATCCCTTCTGTATTGAAATCTTTGCTTTACACACGAGGTGCAAGAATTTGGATATTGGAGGAAGGTAGCAAGGTGCAGGCTGCTGGGAGGTAAGCAGTTTGCTTTGAGGCTCTGATTTGTACACCTCCATCCTGGTGAGCCCTGAGGGATTAACTTGCACTTGTGGCTGCTCTAATGCGGTGGCAAAGAATGAGCCAGGTTGTCCCGCAGGCAGGGTGGGGACCTGGCTCTCAGATGGGCCATAAATCAAGACAAACCCTGAGCCAGCAGTTAGTCCTCTGGGCTGAGGATCCGGCTCTCCATGGCCACTGTGTCCCCAGCCTCCAACTGAGCAGAGTTTGTGCTTTGGATGGCTGTGATGGCACAGAGGGTCAGGCTTCTTGAGGAGTGGCCATATGGGTGCCAGCGTTGGGTAGCTCCTGTCACCCCGAGGCAGACGTGAGCTTGTCCTGGCATTTAGGTGCTGGGAATGGATGTGTGTGGAGCAAGCACTGGCTCTGCCCCTTGGGTCTCAGCTGGAGGGCCGACCAGGAGCAGGGATGAGAGAGGAAGCAAAGCACTCAGGGTGGAAAAACATCGGGCAGTCAACGGGTGCTCCCAGCTTCATGAGGGCTGGGGAATGTCTCTTCCCTCAGGTCACCGTGCCCTGCAGTGAGGGTCTGGACTCTGAATCCGTGCTGGAAGGGTGCAACACAGCAACACCAGCCCTCAAACACAGACTCCAACACGAGGCATGCAGGGGGCTCCCATTCCTTTTCCCCCTTCCCTGCTTGTCCTGTTTACCCAGGGCGACTCATTTCCATGCCTGCGAGTTATGCAAAGGCAGCTGCTAATGTAAACGCCGCAGAAAGCCCTGGATTCGCTCCCACTGCTACTTTCCGAGAAGAGGGGGATATGTTTTCGGGGGCTGGAGCGGCAGAACGGCAGAAGGGAAGGAAAAACAACCCCCCCTCCTTCTGCCATTCCCCTAAACGGGACAGACGAAATATCGCAGAGCAGCTCAGCGGGGCGCTCGGCTTGTTTTTCCCCCTGCCCCGATTCCCTTGCCAGCTCCCTCCTCCTCGCAGCCCCATCCCCGGCCCCGGCCTGCCCCCGGCCCGCTTCCCGCTGCCCAATCAGTGCGGCGGGGCCGGCGCTCCGGCTCCATAAAGCGGCGGCGGGCGCGGCCCCCGGGAGCCGAGCGTGGGAGCCCCGCGCCGAGCCCCTGCAACCCTGCCCAGGTAACAGCACGGCTATGGGGGAGGGAAGCGGGGGGGTCCGCAGGGCTCAGCGGCGGGGTTGTCCCAGCAGATTCCCCCAGCGGAAGATTCCTCTTAGCCCTCGGGACGGGGGGTGGGGAGGAAAGAGGATAAGGGGCGGCTCTTGTTTTGTCTTCAAAACAAGCTGTCTGCTGTTTCCCCCCCCCCCTTTTTTTTTTTTCTATTATTTTTTCTTTCATTTCTTTCTTTCTCTGTCTTTTTTTTTTTCTTTTCTTTTCTTTTTCCTTTCGAGGCTCTCACTCTTTTTCCTTAAATAAAGGCAATCTCATTGGGAGATAGGTGATGCTCCCCATAGCTCACCCCACCGAAGACCTCCTCCCCAGGAGAGGGATCACATGAGGGGATTTTGATCCGAGAGGCTCTGGCATTTTTCAAGGCTCTCAGCATGAATATTCTTACTTGTTTTCCATTTCTGAGTTGCTGGCATTACCAATCCCACCGCAAATACGAGCGGACCCAACACACGTGGGTTGTTGGGAAGGTTGGGTTGGGAGCAGAGCCCCTCCATGGCAGCCCACTTTGGGGTTGCTGTGCTGCTTGTTGCTTTCCTTAGCCCTGGATGAGCCTTGTGTAACTTCAGACCAGCTGATCTGGGGAGGCAGCTGGGCTGGCAAGCCCTCCTTGCTGAAGCAAGCATATTAAGAAAGCCCCAGCTAAGCTTTCCTGCTCATTAGCCCTGCTCCAGAGCAGCAGCGAGCATGGGGGTGTTTGAGAAGTAAAAAGTTCACACCGGGTTCAGAAGGTGTTTTGAAGGCTGTTGCTTGTGGATAGGACCCTTGCCATGGTGCAGGAGTTTGGGTATTAAAAGGATGCATTGAAGGTATGAAAGCAGTTGCTGGGTTTTCCACCTTGGGCATGGGATGCGGAGTAGCATGGGATCGTGACTGATCTGCCTCTGTGAATAGAGCGTGGGGAAAAAAAACAACTGGGAGAGCAAGGAAGAGTCTCACGTTTGGGATTGGTTTTGGCATCCTCCCTGCAGGACAGCCCTCGTCAGCTCCGCAGCCATGGCCACCTCGGCGAGCTCCCACCTGAGCAAAGCCATCAAGCACATGTACATGAAGCTGCCGCAGGGGGAGAAGGTCCAAGCCATGTACATCTGGATCGATGGGACTGGGGAACACCTCCGCTGCAAAACCCGCACACTGGACCACGAACCCAAGAGCCTGGAAGGTGAGAGGTGCGGGATTCGGAGTAGGTGCTTTTTTGGGAAGAGCTGAAGATGCTGCTCTTCGTCCCCCTCTGCTCACCTCCTGCTCCAGGTGCCCGGGGAGGAAGGTTCCCAGCTCTCCAGATGTGACATTGAGTGCCATGGCAGGGGTTGGGCACCAGGCCCGGCGGAGGGGGCTCTTGGCATGGGATCCGTGGCCCATTGACTCTCAAGTGCTCGTTTTGGCCGGAAGTAGTTTGGCAGAAAGTGGAAGGGAAAGAATGGAGCTATCCGGTGTAATTAAGAGCTTGTGTCCCTCAGAACAAACAGTCCCAGCTTACACAATAATAGCATTAGGATTTTCTCAGGTTGCCATGGAGCTGGCTGGAGACAGTTATGAAATGAAAATACTGTGTGTGACTGAGCAGAATTCTCTCTCTCTCTTTTCTTTTTTTTTTTTTTTTCCTTTTTCCCTCTAAGGGAGTGGTTGGCACATCTCTTTTGAAATCTCCGTGCTTCCCATCCTCCCACTTTCCCCCCAGGATACGGAGGAGATAACATAGCCTGGGTAGAGTTCACTGCAGCTCCCGCTGTGCTTTGACCCCAGGATGGAGGGCACAAACACCATGCTGGCCATACTCCTCTTTTCCATATGAGGCTCAACCCTTGTGGCAGTGCATGTGATTTACTCTTCCCCAGTCCCCAGACATCCTGAATGAAAGCAAACTGGGTGCCCAGCTCACTCCATGGTGGTTGGGAGATGGGAATTGTCTTCAACGCTGCAGTACTGGCTTGGGCTTGGCCAGCAGCCCAGTGACTCGTGTTTTTCAGGGTGGCTGCAGAGCTGGGGAGTTGCCTTCTTTCATTTCTTACTTGCTTTGTGTTTCTACTTCCCTTATTTACAAAAAAAAAAGAAAAAAAAAAAATCCACAAAAGATCATCTGAGCTGGGATGAAACCCCTTCTAGTCCCATTGTCTATAAGTACTTGCACTTCCATGGCACTGAAGAATGGTGGAGAGTCCATCCTCCTGGCACTGGTGGACCCTGGCTCACAATAATTTGCTCTTCTCTTCAGATCTCCCCGAGTGGAACTTCGATGGCTCCAGCACCTTCCAAGCTGAAGGCTCCAACAGCGACATGTACCTGCGACCTGCTGCCATGTTTCGGGACCCTTTTCGCAAGGATCCCAACAAATTAGTTCTCTGTGAGGTCTTCAAATACAACCGCCAGTCTGCAGGTGAATGGACACACTACTGGTGTTTGTGGGGAGGGGATGCTGATAGAAGAAGGGGGCAGAAAAAGGAAGACCTATCCAAATGTTGTTCATGCCCTTCAGCATCGTGCATGGCAAAAATAGAGCCCCAGAAATACAAGGTAAACAAAGTGCTGGTGGTGATGATTATGGTGGAACACCTGGATTCTTCCCTTCACCAGTGCTGCTGGCACTCAGGCTGTAGATAAAGGAGAAGTGGGCAACGGAGGTGGCAGACCTAAAAAACCTTGTGCTGCTTTTCCATTACAGAGACAAATCTCCGGCACACCTGCAGGCGGATTATGGATATGGTGTCCAACCAGCACCCCTGGTTTGGGATGGAGCAGGAGTACACCCTTCTGGGAACAGATGGTCATCCATTTGGCTGGCCTTCCAATGGCTTCCCTGGACCCCAAGGTAACCTTTCAGGAGCCAGCAATGCAGTGTGTCAGGAGTGTTTGCTGCCTTGCTTGAGTTGTTAACTCTCTGACACAACTTATGTTTCAAGCAAGACGAATGATTCAAGACCTTTCTAGTACTGAAAGTAGCAAGCAGGACAGTGGCAGAAACTAATTCACAAAACTAAGATCTGTGTGGAAAGGCCAAAATGTTCACTGCCCTTTTCCAGATTTTGCTGTTCATTTGTTAGTCTACAGGTGACTCTTGCCCAATATGATGGAGTACAAGTCAATTAGTGCTCTGCTCTACCTGTGCTTTGCCATGAAAAATGAATGCTGAGCCTTGATCTTCCCCATGTGTGCTCTCTCTTCACAAAATTTGAACCTTTTACCTTCTGGAAGCTCATGTTCTTCTTGCTTTCCATCTGTGCTATTGCAGGTCCATACTACTGCGGTGTAGGAGCTGACAAAGCCTATGGCAGAGACATTGTGGAGGCCCACTACCGAGCGTGCCTGTATGCTGGTGTGAAAATTGGAGGAACCAATGCAGAAGTGATGCCTGCCCAGGTAAAATCTTGGGTGCCTTGTGGGGTGAGATGGTCCAGAAAAACTGTGGGTAAAAGGAGCTTTTGACTCGCCACTCCAAGTAGTGCAGCTTTGCTAGTGGTCAGAGTGTAAGGGGGTGGGAAGTGCTTTGCTGTGCCTGACTAAGCTCTGATTCGTCCTTCCTGTAGTGGGAGTTCCAGGTGGGACCATGCGAAGGGATTGAGATGGGGGATCACCTCTGGATAGCACGCTTCATCCTCCACCGGGTGTGTGAAGACTTTGGTGTCATCGTGTCCTTTGATCCCAAACCCATCCCTGGGAACTGGAACGGTGCTGGCTGTCACACCAACTTCAGCACCAAGAACATGAGGGAAGACGGGGGACTCAAGTAAGTCTTTTGAGATGGGCCAGGGCAGCAAGTTTGGCTTGGTAGCTGCAAGCTTTTAGCAGAGCTTTTGACTGCATGGTGGACACCATTATGGGGCTTGGCATTCTGCATGAGACTTTTTTTCTGGATTTCACTCTTCTTGTGTGTGTGTCTGTGTTTTTTGTTGAGATGTGTGTGTAGTATTACACTCCTGTTGGTGCTGGATTGGAAATTCACTACAGGTGGAAGTATGAGCAGTTTGTAGGAGGCTGTGCAGCTCTTGTTAATAAACAAGCTAACTCAGCAAGAGCATTTTTTTATTTATAACTGTGATGAGAGTGACCGCTTGCTTATGTCTGGGTCAGGCTGGATGCCCCTCCAGAAATGTAAAACCCAGGTCACAAATGGGACTGGCATGCTCAGTGCAGACCTCACAGCACTGGATCTTGGTGGCGCTCTCCAAAGGGATTTGTTTGGGCAGCTCTGCTTTCCTGCCTTAATCTCAGTGGTGCTCTGAGATAACGAAGCAGCCTGTGATTGTCAGCTTCCCTAATAGGACCTTGGGTTTAGAAATCTCTCTTCTGGGGGCAGATTTCACCAGAGGCAGGGCAGAAATCTGGCCATGGGTCATTCCCGTGAGCACTGTCAGTGAACTCTATGAGGCCATGGGGATCCTTTTCCAAGAATCACACAGGTTAGAAGGGAAGCGAACCCCCCCCACTGATAAGGACAGGGACGTGGGTCGTAGGACATAATTCACTTGGGGATGTCAGAGGAAGGGATGAAGCTACATTCACTTGGACACAACAGCAAGAGCAGCTCACTCACCGAGCCTTCTCCTCTGCCCTGCTTCCTTCACAGGCACATTGAGGAAGCCATCGAGAAACTGAGCAAGCGTCACCAGTACCACATCCGTGCCTATGACCCCAAAGGAGGGCTGGACAACGCCCGGCGCCTGACGGGCTTCCATGAGACATCCAACATCCACGAGTTCTCCGCCGGCGTTGCCAACCGCGGCGCCAGCATCCGCATCCCACGCAACGTGGGCCATGAGAAGAAAGGCTACTTTGAGGACCGCCGGCCTTCAGCCAACTGCGATCCCTATGCTGTGACGGAGGCCCTCGTCCGTACGTGTCTCCTCAACGAAACTGGGGATGAGCCTTTTGAGTACAAGAACTAAGTGGAATCATGCCCACAGACACCGCCTTCCCCCCATGCTTCCCACACCCCTAAACTTCCCTTCTAGTTGTAATCCTGAGGGTACAAGATAACACACTTCGTGTCTCAGTAACTCTTGTTGTTTTGAGGTGGGGGAGGAGGGCAGGTTTAGTTTTAATGATGTCTATTTGTCGTTGACTCTTCAAAAGGCGAGAGGAGGAGCAGAGGGTGTTAGAGAATTTTTAACCACTGTTTTGTTTTATTGTTGTTTTTTTTTTTTTGTCTAATTCATCCGTACATCCGGTGGGATCCAATGGCTTCCAGGACAGGCTACACATAGAAAGAAGCCAGCAGACAAGAGGAAAGTGAAAATTACAGCTGACTTCCCCAAATTTGGGTGTTAGACCCAACGCTGGTGCTCTGTGGGCGGATGGTTCTCAAGGCATAGCATCCCAAGAAGGGCAGGGAGGAGCTGAGATGAGGCCCCGCTCTGTCCTGGGGTGTGATGGGGAAGTCTTCAGCCTCTTGGCCCTGTCAGATTTCTAGGATTCTTCTTGGCATTGAGCGTGTGGTGTAGGAGCACTTAGGAAAGCTCCTTGTTCTGTCATTGGAAGTCAATTGATCTCCTGCTCATAACACAGAGTGAAGTAGTATTTTTCTATTTAAATGTAAAAACAAAACAAAAAAATTATATATGAAAGTGGGGGGTTTTGTGTTTCTGGTTTTTGGGTTGTTTTTTTTTTTCTTTTGAAGAAGAAAAAGATGATGTCCCAGGGACTTGACCACAAGAGTGGGCAGAGCTCATGGGGGTGCTGCCAGAGGGCCTTCAGGTGGGACTGAGGGAGAGCTTGAAGGGCTCAGTGGGGAAGACTCAGAGGAATGCAGCTTGCAGGAGGCAATTCCCAGACCTGGGAAGCCCACAGGAACGTTTATCACTGTAACTCAAGTAGCCATGAAGTGCTTGTGTGGATGAGGGGGAGGAAGGTGTTCCGAACGAGGAGTTGGCTGGTCAACTTCACCATGTTCTGGACAGAGCTGTGGGTGCTTCACTTTCCGGTGGGGTTAGCACGTCACTAAAGCAGGGCTTTTGATAAATGAAATTTTAGATGACTTTTTTTTTTTTTTTCTTGTAATGTACTTAGTTTATAAAACTGAGTGATTTTACAGAGACCGTCGATGTCACTGTTGTGTCCTGGCTATGGGACTGCCTGCCTCTGCTGATTGTGGCTGGGAGGAGGGGAAGGATCCATCCCTCCCAGGCAGCCCTGTGCCTCCCAGCTCGGGCTGGGGGTTCAAACGTTCCAGGATCTTACACTTCGGGTATCTTAGATGGTGCCAGTTATATTCCGTTGCATTTGGACTTCTTCCGAATAGTTTTTTTATAATTAAAAAAAAAAAGAGAGATTGAAATGTTAATTCTGACTTCTTCCTCCTTTCTGTGCTTCCTGGCAACTTCTTTTGTATGTGTTTTGTCTTTACTTAAAGGTAATTTTACCCTGATACTGGGAAGGTTTTGGCTTTTCATTTGCGGGGTGGGTGGGAAGGAGGGGACAGCCAGAACCTGTGTACCCAATAGGGAGCTGTTGGTTCTCTGGGGTAGGGGTTCTCTGTGGTCCTGCTGTGACTTCAGTGGGGGGAGTCTCTGTGTGGGGGCATGTGGGGCTTTGTGGACATCCACGCACACAGCCCAGAGGGTGTTGAAAGTAAAGTGGCAGCAAATGCTTTGGAAAAAGGAGCAAGGTGTACGGTACGCTTAGGCAACCCTGATGGTGGGAGTGGGATTCAGTCCTTTGCTGCTCCTGTTGCCTTGCACATAAATGTAGCACAAGTGCTTGATGCTTAATGGTACCTCGTGTTCTCAGCTGACAGACCATTTACCCACTGGCTTGGTAATTATCCAGATGAAAAAAGCCTTAAACAATGAGCACTGTGCTGCAAAATGGCTCTTCTTATAATTATATATGGAAAAAGGCTGCCAGGAATTAGAAGGAAAAATCCCTGCTCTCCTTCAGCCACTGTTGTCTGACTTCTTGCCTAAAGCTTGCAGGCTGAGCCTGCTTTGCAGCCACCTGAACACCATTTCCTATGCACTGGTGGGCAAAGAACAGCTTTGCAGAAAATCTAGAGCTTGAGAGCTTTTTGCTCTCAAGAGCTGCTTTGCTTTCCTTCACGATGCTCCTGGGACGACTTGATTGCTGTGTAGTGCAGCCAGTGACTCACTGGTCCATGATGGGGTGATCACTGATACAAAACTGGCCATGTGCAGCAGCCCATACACTTTTGCAGGTGTGAAGTGCTGGAGGATGATTTGAGGCTCAGCATTGCAGCATCCTTCAGCCAGAAGCCCTTGCCTGTATAAAGCAAGGCACTGTCCCTAGAGGTATTCAAGACCCGTGGAGAAGGGGCACTAAGGGACACAGTCAGTGGGCAGGTAGGAAAGGGTTAGGGTTGGACTTGGTAGTCTCCATGGTCTTTCTGTGATTCTATGATCTACATTTCTGCTGCCACCCTGGATTTACCTTACCTCTGCATGCTTTGCTCTGAGGCTGAAAGATCAGAGGTGGGCTTGTTGCCAGTGGCTGCCCCAGAAGTGACTCCTCTTTTCCTCCCATTGCAAGTGAGATGCTGTAAGGCTGATTGCCTGCAGGAGCAGCAGTGCAAGAGGGCTCTTTTTTTCCCCTTTTTTCCTCCCCATCCTGGCCTGCCCACGGCCTGGCACAGCCAGGCTATTTTGCTTTCATAAGCTGCATTATGTAAGCTGGTCTCGAGCAAGGACGTGGTGCCAACTTGGCGTTGGGAAGGAGCCACATTCCTGTGCCGCGGGGTCTAATCCCTGCCTGCAGCAAAAGCTGGGCTGCAGGAGGAACAGGAAAGCTGTGTCTTGCTTTCCGATCTCTCACCCCAGGTGGAGGAGCCTTGCAGAGCCATCGCTCCCTTTGTCAACAGGCTGTGCCCAGCGTTCCACTTTGCAAATCTCATCCTCAGCAGCACTGGGGGCTGGCCCAGGCTTGCACAGCACACCTCGGGACCTTTCTCTCCTGCTGTGTTTGTTGAACTCTCTGTGCTCTGCAGCTTTGGTTACACTTGTTTGGAAAGGCTCAGGGGAAGGAACATGGAAGCAGAGACTTCCACAGTGCTAGCCAAAAAGACGGACAAAGGTGAGCAGCATAGGATGTAGAGCTGTGTGGTGAGCAGATAGGATTGCATGATGAGGAGGTGGGGTGCAAAGCCTAGGAAAGACCATGGGACTGTGGAATGGCTTAGGTTGGGAGAGACCTCAGAGGCCATCCAGTTCCAGCCCCTGCCTTGGTCACTTACTGCTAAAGCAGCCACTGGGGTAGGTTGCCCAGGGCCCCATTCAACCTGACCTCGAACAGGAATGGGGGATCCACAACCTCCATGGTGCATGGGCCAGGATCTCCAGCACAGATTGCCCCTGGGGTGCCATTTCTGCAGGACAGCCCTACCCCTGTCAAACCAATGGGCAGCTTGGATGGGACATTGGGCAGCCTGATCCATGAGATGCATCCTTCCCATGGCAGGGGGTGGGAGCTAGATGACCACTGAGGTCCCTTCCAACTCCAGCCTATGACTGTAGAGTCACAGAACGGTTTGGGTTGAAAGGGACCTCAGTGATTATCTAGCTCCCACCCCTTGCCATTGGCAGGGCAGCATGCTGGGAAGCTGTCATGCACCTACCTGTGCATGCAGTGCAGGATGGCACTGCCTGCTCGGCAGGGCTCTAGGGCTTCTTCGGCCCATCCACTGACAAGCTCCAGGACCTCATTTGGCCAGGCATGGCCATACAGATTCGGAAGATTTGCTCTTATTCCCCTTGGGTTAAAGCCGGCAGCAGTAAAGCCTTGACCTCTCCAGGTCTTGTGGGTAGACCATGGAAGCTGAATCATCAAAAACTATGCAGTTGCTCTGAAACACGGGATATTGTCAGTCCATTTTCCATCCAGATAGATAACACATGCAGGGTGATTAACTGGCTCTATTTTCTTCCACCTCTCCATGTGGCTGGCTCTCCTGGCACAATACCCGTTCTCTCTTTGAAATGCTTTCAGTGCAGGATGGCTGTCTTCCCTGCTGGCACACAGCTGGGCTGGCACTCACTGAGGGCTGCCAACCTGGAAGGAAGTGGCTCATTAGAAGGGCAGCATGAGCTTGCATATGGACAGGTAGAAGACAACATGGTCCTCTCTAACCAAAAGCAGCTTTCCCCATTGCACCTTGCAAGGAGCAGCCTGGGCTTCCTGGAGCTGCCACACTGGAGAGGGTTGTGTTGTCACAGCAGGAAGGAACTGCACAGGGTTTATTGCCCACTCCTGCCCCATCCCTAGGCCAGGGTGGGCGTGCTGGGCTCATTGTTCATTTGCATTAACATTTTTCCTGTGCTGCTGACATCTGCTGATCCCAGATTGCTTTCCGACCATCAAACCCTATGTGGCAAGAGAGAATTGAAAGAGTAGGAGACACCTCATTAACTTTTACTCCACCCTGTATCCTCTTGCAGGGACAAGGAGGAATATTATTTTGCTTGCCACGGCGGGGGGAAGGGGGAAATAGGATGCTTATGTGGTAGGCAGGGGAGCATGGCTATCTGCGATAAGCCTGGCAGCTGTATGCACCAACACAGCCTAGGTTCTGAAGAGCCCCACAATGAACAACACTGTGGGATCCCATTTTGGCTCCTGGACACAGGATGGGGACCATTTGGTTCTTCCTCCCCAGCTCACAGCCTCCCAGCTGTGCTGAAGTAGCCAAGCAAAGCTTGGGCAGCAAGGCTCTCCCCAATGGGCATCCGCTCTCCTCCTTAATGCCCCCAGCTGATGTTTTTACAGGAGCTGCAGATGTTCAGCATTCAAGGGTGTTCTCTCCCTAGTGGGCTTTCTCCAGGCAGGGAGCCAAGTGAGCAAGCAAAGAACAAGATGGTATTGGGGAAGCAGTCTGATTCTACTCTAGCTATATCTAGCACTTGAGCTGAGCAAAGATTTGTCTCAGAGTGACCACCTGCAAGCAGCTGTGCTTTTTCCAAGCAGTGTTCCATCTCAGACCCAAAGAAACATCATGTCAGCAGCAGTTTGGGGTTTTCCTCACAATCTCTGGTGGAGATAACTCCTTTCCCTTCAAACTTCAAGTGCTGGACACCTTTCATTTATCCATCCTAGCTTTCCCATGCAAACAGGGCATAAAGAGCAAAAATAGAACACGGGTGGTGCTTTCCTTAGCTTCCAGCTGCACTGCTCTGGGAAAGAGGGACAGGGTGGGAGATGGGCAGAGATGGGGCTGCATCCTGCCTGGCTGGCTCCCAGCCACTCTGCACTGCAGGAGGTGCTTCCGTGGGAAGGTGACTCCACCTGGGAGGTGTGACACTGAGGCTGGGGCAAGGCAGGAGGAACAAAGCTCCTTTTGTTGCACTTCCCCTGCCCCGCTGAGCTTCCTGAAGCTGTGCCAGTGAGATGTGGGCTGTGCCATCATAAGGCTGGCTGAACAGGGCACCTCTGTGCCAAATCCTGAATAGGTACAGCAATATAAGGGGACTGACAAGGAGCATCCATACACATGGGTCTGGGACATGGAGAGTGTCAGCATGTGGGTGAGCAGTTGTTACCAGCATCACCAGCATGCCAACCTTGCTCAGCACCATGCTGTTCTGGGCACATAGAGGGAACTTGATGGGTCTGTCCAGGTGTGGGATGTAGCTGAGCTTAAGAATGCCAAAATCCACCCAGCATGCTAAAACTTCAATTCCAAAGCAGCTCCATCCACCAGAACAAAACCCCTTAAAATCTGACCTTATCATGGAGGCCAGAGAAGATACAGCAGTACTTAAGAACACTTCTGGCTCATCACAACAGGGTAAGGTGGATGCACAGTCCTGCACATCCATCCCATCCCTGCAATGCCATACACGGTGCATGGTGCTTCTCCATGTATCTGAAAAACCCCTGGGATGGTGAGAGTTAATCCTTGCTCCCAGCTGCCTTCCTCCAGCACTATGCAGGAAGAGGGGCTGCCTGGGGGAGGAAAAAGCGCTGTGTTCAGACCTTTTACCTAATTTCCAAAGGTTCAGACCTGACAGCCTTAGCAACGAGAGCTGCCAGAATCTGCACTGCTGGCTGCCTTCATGCACAGCCCACATCGTTGATGCAGGGACACAGCAGCACCCATCTCAGCACTGACTCGATGCCTCCACACCCACAGGAGCAGCCAGGAGACACAGTTGTGCTTGCTCCTGTCACTGTCCTGCATTTAAAGCACAAGAGATTGCCTCTACTACACACAAATATATTTCCCTCAGATTTGAGCCAGGAAAACTAGAAATTAGCATGGTGGTGAAAACCCAAGGAGTTGCCCTATATATGTGTGAGGCACTTTGCAGCAGATGAACAGACTGTGACCCAAAGGAA